AAAGATATATAAACATTTTCAACGTCAAATCGTAAGTTAAAATTCTCTAAACTAGGCGTCAAAAAGGATTTTTCCTATTTTTTAAACCGTTTTACGGTAATTTCTATGGAAAACTTTTTCATATCCTAATCTGCCTGCCTACGCTAAGCAGTATCCCAAATGAAAACCTGGTTCCCAATCCCGCTCGGCAACTATTTGTCATGAATGAGGTGTGAGGGCCCTCCTTTTGTTCCTCCGCTATCCGAGGCCTCTCATCCCCAATATTAGCCCTGCCTTCGGGGGCCATTTTTGAATAATACGCGTCAGAATGGGTTATGGAATACCCCAGTTCGAGTTTTACCGCAACCTTTAGCTCCCCAAGCCCTCACTTTCGCTGGAGGGGAATCGGATCAGGAAGGACAGTCTATAATCGGGTTGTCTGTTCGTTCAAGGTCTGTCTCTCTTCTCTAGCACACTCTCTCGCTCACCATGCTATGTGACCCAGAAAAAACGGTTGGAAAGAAGAAAAGGAGGGGGGGAAAGAGATTTGCATAGGAGGGCATAGCTAGCATCCGACGACCCGTCCGTCGAATCGAATCATTGACTTTATAGGGCATTCTAAGGACAGGTGAGGAGCAAGAGCATCATCAAGTCCCAATCTGGCTGCCAGATCACTATTAAACTTTTTAGAAAACACAAAAATGGAATTCCTTACGTTATTCCAGCTCCCACACTCCAACTGCTAGCCAGAAAACCCAGACAAAAAGGCCTTTCCGCGCGCGCAATTCTATGCAAATCAGGTACCCTGTTTGGCGGCGTTGTGCTGTAGGGGCGGCGGATGCGGAGAGAGGGATAGAGAGATAGATAGACAGACAAACCGGCTGACACACAAACCCACCGGTTGCTCATTTCCAGAAGCGGGTAAATGGGCGAGAAGAGGGGATGGATGCCAGAGAAGACCCCTCCCCCTCCATCGCCTCATCTGTCCGGCACAAAAGGTGATTGACCCACTGACTTGGCTCGATTCCCTCTAGGGAGCGGAGGAGGAGGGCAGGTGCAAAATCTGCGTCTGTTTCTGCCCTTCTTTTCAGCTAGGACTACGGTATCCATATTTCCGGTTAAACTGACACCCAATCATGCTTTGAAAGTCCCTTGAACGTCTCGAAAAGGTCGGGTAGAGGACAGTGGAAAGGGCAAGATGAGGACTACCCTCAAAGGGAGCACGAACACCTACACTTTAAGGATTACAAGGGGTTGATGCTCACTCAGCCAGTTGGACTCTTGCCTTTCTGGCTCTCTCTCTCTCTCTCTCTCTCTCTCTCTCTCACCTAAGAAACCCCAAAAAAAAGCAGAATTGGTTCTGGTTTTTCGTGGTCTGCGAGGCGCGGGGCGCGTGGCGGTAGGGCGCAATGGTTTTTCTTTAAGGCACTCGCCCCGACTGGTGGAAGAAGAAGAAAAAGGGAAAAGATTGGAATCGAGTGGAACACAGAAAGCTTCTCCGAAATGACAGACTGACAGACACAACAGGTGGGGCCCTTCGGGAATTGCCAGCCTGCCAGCCATATTGAGCGATTTTAAGGTGAGAATGAGCCAGGGATGATTCCCCAAAATCTTTGCTAGTTTGCGATAGATAGAATGGCAGTGAGATTAAACGGTTACGATATCAAAATGAGAATGAGAATCTTCCCCAAAGATCTCTGCTAGATACCAATCGATAGAGTGGAAGCCAGTTTAGCCAATGAACGATTTTAAGGTGAAAACCCCGCTTCCAATTCTCCAAGGATTTCTGCTAGTTTTTGATAGATGGAATCGGAGCCAGTTAAGATATTTGCATGCAAAAAATTAGCATAAAAACTCACATTGCTGGAGTTTGTGGACGGTCTCGATGAAGACATCCCTCAATGCGCCAAGAGAAGGATAGAGGGCACACACATGATCGTAGAAGTCGACCGCTGTCGGCAGGGCCAAATCCCAGCCCAGCTGCTGGCAGATCAGCATTTCCCAGCTCTAAAGATTTGCAATTACTTTTTAAGGTATCTTTTTCTTACCAAAATTTGCCCAACGGACACGGTATCGGCCGTGTAGCTGCTCATCTTGCGGGCAGAGATTGGGGTGGATTCCTGGAATTTAAGTTTTATATTTTTAAGGTATATTTAACGCAATGTTATGAAAATTAAGTAAATGCACAAACCTTAATCTTGCTGACCAAAAAATAGCAAGTAGCCGCGAGGCCCTGCAGGTCCTTTTTGTAGATCCCCTGGCACGACAGGAAACGATCAAAAATCAGGGTGGACAGGGGAAGAACACCAGCATCGGCGTGGCTCTGAATTCGATTTAAAATTTACAATCAAGTTTGAAAACTTACATCCTTGCTGACGTCGCTCAGCCAGTCGATGGCCGTTTGCCGGGCCCGCTCGGTGAGATCAGTTTGGATTGCCTCGAAATAGTGCGAGTTGATGCCCAAGTGTTCCTGGAAAAGTGAAATTAAGCCTAAAAAATTAAAATTAAAATTAGTTCTCTAGGTACCTGAAAACTCAGGCACCCGGTTAACTGAAAATTCAGGTACTTTCTTTTTTTTGCTTCCTTTCGCCCCTCTACCCATCAGATCCCAAAATCCTCCACATTTCTTGGCAAGTTGCCGCCCAGTGATGATCCCCCCTTGTTCGGAAATGCGGTAAATCGTGGGCCTATCTCCCCCTTCCCTGGTTCCCTATCCCGGGTTGTGGGGGGCTGCTGTGCCGGGCGCGACCCCATCAAGGCATGCAAATGTCTGCGCGGTAGGGGTGGATAGAGAACAGGGAAAGATAAGAGAGACCAGACAATCTGCACTTTTCTCCCCTCCTTTGGACCATCGCCTTTTAAAGGGACCGAGAAGGGAGGGGAAGAGAGAGAAAAAGAGCTGATAGAAGAGGAGGTAGGCACGGCAGATGCGATTATGGGGGTCTAGTGGGGGTCCCTTTGTCCTTCTCCGATCTTTCCCTACTCGAGGTCAATCTCCACCAGCTGGCCCTTTTTCTGGCTACTGATCCGAGCGAAATGAAATCGATGATTTTAATTGGAAACTTGGTTTCAGAGTATAAAAAAATGGTACCAACCTCAGCCCGTAGAAGATTCTTGAACGCGACGGCGTTATGGTGAACGCCTCGGTCTACAGGCCGCGTCTGCACAGATTGGTGTTGTGGCTGATTGAGCTTCAAAATCCAGTGAGGCTCGCTTTGCCTAAATGGTAGTTTTTGGTCAGGGAACCTGACTTTTCAGTGACCTTAACCGAGGGTGCCTGATTTTTCAGGTACCTCATATCAAATTGACCCCATTTCCGCCCTCGCCTAGTTTCCCTAATTTTTCCGATACCATTCCAGCCAGCTAGTGACTTAGCGTTATCAAAGCCCGACCTCGTCCCTCAACCCTGTCAATCCCGTGCTCCGAAATTGAGCCTCACTAGTATCAATCCCCCTCCAGGAGGACCAGATCCCCCTAAAATCTGTCCCACTTCGATGCCATCGAGACAATCTCGAGAGTTTTCCATCCAACTGTCTGCCACCCCATCTAATCCTCTCTATCTCTACTCCCTCTCTCACTCTCTCTCTATTGTTGCACTTCACAGGGTATTCCTGTCGCTATCTATTTCTAAAATCTGTGGCTCCCCCCTTCGAAGCAGCTTCCTCTCAGGGTGGCACGTTTTTACAAGCGCAGCACCCGCAGAAAAACGAAAGTGTGCTCGAAATTTTGCAGTGTCAATGGCATGAAAGCAGACAGACAGACAAACTGAGAGAAAGTAAATCCAAAATACCTGATACAAACTGCGAGACGATGTCTGAGGCTGTTGCCTTGTGGGGATAGAGGGAAGAGGGCAGAGCACACCACGGCTTGTACGTCTTCTGATTATCACCGAGGTGTCGTCAGGGGAATTCCCGACGACGTCGATGTTCTCAGAAGAGGTGGAAGGGGAGGAGGACAGCATTTCGGGGCAGCTGTAAATCGGGTGGTTTTAAAGGGGCTGGGAAGGTGAAAATGTGATTTTTCAGAGATTTTAGTAGGGTAACTGAATTTTCAGTTGCCTTTTTTGAGGGCACCTGAATCGAAATAAGCTTACTTACCCAAGGGCTGAAGGCGTTCGGGCGATGATGTCGCTCATTCTGAGAGCCGACATATCAAGCGAATTCCCACTGCTGGTGGATCGTCTATGGCCAACAACAGAAGCATAGGAGGGACCCATCATCTTCTGCGAGGCCATTACCAGCTTGTCTGCTGGACAGAAAGACAGTTTAATAAGTTTCAGATAGAAAATTCTAGTCAAGATCGAGAATGTAGACATCAGATAGTGGTGTGGGGTGATGGTAATTGAGATTATGGGCGAGGCGAGGGCGATACGTTCAAAAGTTTATTTCGCAAAAGGGTGGGTGGGCCACGTGGGGTCTGAGATTTGAATACCCCAAAGGGGTGGGCGTTGTGAAATTGGTCGTTGTCATTTGGACCATTTTCCGGTCAGATTGGCCATTGAAAAATATATATGCAAAATATACAATTTCCAGGGTATGGGATACTGTAATCAAAATAATTTCCCAAAATTTTTAAAATAATTGGATTTATTAGTAAAAAAAATGGTCAACTGTCATCTAGTTTAATAAAGTATATCAAAAAACAAGCTGAAAACTCGTGAATACAGTAAGGTGGCAGGCATCCTGTAGAATCCATACTGTAAGCTGAGAAAAATTAAGAAAAAATCAAAATAAGTACGACAAGCTCCCAATTGACAGCCAGTTAGCCTAATGAGAAGATACCCAGCCGGATGGAGGGCATGGGCCAAGACTGAACCTGTGGAAGGGAAGGAGCCTTAGTGGGTGCGGGAGGAAGAGAAGGAGGAGGAGGAGGAGGTAGAAGGGGGCGGAGCCTCACGGTACACAGAAGGGCACAACGGAGAGAGAGCGAGACGGAGGGATGGATGGCCTGTTGCTCCACCCACCGTCAGCATGCACATTAGAGACGAGATAGAGCGAGAGAGAGAGAGAGAGCGCGCGACCGAATTAACAAGCCGACTGGCTTACAGTATACCCAAAAATCTGCTTAAAAGTCGAATTTGTAGTTTAGTAAGGCTTTAAATTATGTAGCAGATACCTTAACTGTGTGCCAGAAAACACAAATCTTCTCGAAAAATCAGCATTTGTAGCTTTGTGGGCGATACATAACTTAAAAGCTACAATGCCTGCCAGCTAACAAATCCCAGCAATCTGAGTCATAAAAATGGTCCATTCTGAGCTGTTCGGCCACCTTTAAAAACCACTCGTCATCATTTCGTGGGAGCAGACGGTGACGGGGCACGAAGCTTTGACCTGGAGGAGGAGAAGCTGTAGAAGGGCATCTGACGGGGGAGGGGGGAGAGGGTACCTGAATCAGGGCCCCCGAATGTCACCAACAACGCAACACCAAGCAGGGCAGGCAAATTGGCTTCGGAAGCTGGGGGGGAATTAGACAGCTTAGAAGGCTAGCAGAGATTTTTGGTGAATAGATGGATAGCATAAGGGTTATAGCCGATAGTTTTTAGACCCTAGGGCCTTCTGGCACCTTTAGAATCTATCTGCTCTTTTTAATTTCCTCGATCTCTATAAATCGAAAAATTCGATGACCCATCTGGTTATGACGGTTAATTCCCAGGCTTATTGCCTCGTAAAGTGAGAGTGCAGTAGTAGCGTCAAGATTTCATTAATGGCAGAAGATTCTGGCCTGCCTAGGGCCCTGCAGTCACTTTGACGGCCATTAATGTTAAAATCTTCATCAATGAGATTCTGTAGGAAATTGCGGAAAATTACTTGATTGTTTCTGCTAGTTGGATGCCAGAGTTATCGCTTAACTAAAGAACCCCCCAACTGCTTTGCAACAGACCCAAAAAATTGTCGAGTTGTTTGGTTTGGGAAAATGAGGGGACCTGAATTTGGAAAAAATGCCATTAGTGGCGAGAAGTCCTTTAGAACAGCAAATTCCTTCCAGGTATCTGCTAGTTGCCTTACAACCGTACCGTACTGCTATAGAAATCTCAACTGTCTTGCGTCAATCCTAAAAAAACCCCGGCAAGGTTGCCCTCCCCTGCCCTTCCTTGCTATGCTTGTCGATTACCCAATGAGTACATTATCGGCTTATCTACCCCTTTAAGCGGCTCATCTGGTTGTGTATTTGTCAGTGTGTCTGTCAGTTGTTCTTTCTGTCTGTCTGTCTCTCAGCAGGAGGTCATCCCCTATCATTCGGCTATTATTTGCCCGCTGACACCTCGCGCATCCAAGAAGTTGCACACCTCTAGAATGTGCCCTAAGGGATTGGGGAAGTGACAGGGCAATGATCTGATCTATCTGGAGGGCATACTGTACGGCATTGATGAGGTGGGAGACAACCTGTTGAAGACGGGGGGGCAGGTGGGATTCAGATACCCTCAGGGATGGCCTTGGCGTAGGACGAAAATTAAGTTTTAGAATAATTCTTAGGATGGCAGATTGGGTTAATCGATAGGCAATTAAGGCATAACCAAACTTTAATATTTTAATATGCCTAAAATCACACCGAAATCTGGGAACTACAGCCTTTAGGATGTTTTTCTGGTTTTAAAGCTTTTCAATTTAGTCAATTTCGATTCAGATAAATTTTTTTGAATGTAAGATTAGCTTAATTGCTTAGCAGTTAAGGTAAACCCAAGGTATACCACCTTTTATAAACTTATTTGGCCACCAACCAGGCTAAAACACAACTTTTCCGGCCCAGAAAAACACATTTTCCAGCTCAATGTTGGCCACATGTCGCGGCCATTAGGATGAAAATTATGAGAGTAAGAGGTGTAGAGAGAGACAGACAGACAAACTGTCTCCCCCCTCCCTTGGAAAAGTCATACCTCATGACGGTGCCTGGCCGTGTTCGGCAGAGTCCACAAGCCTTCCATTCCCTCGCCGCGCAAAATATGACAGACCCATTAATAAAGAGGGACCGCCCGGCGGGAACGGCCAACTCTATCTAGTGGTTAGTCAGTGTAGTGGATAGACTGGCAGACAGACAGACAGACAGACAGACAGTACGACGAACAACTCATCAACACTTTAAATGGGCCGGTAAGTTGTGTTTTGATAGCTGGGGACCGACAAAATTCTCTTTTCCAAAATACTTCTAAAAATAGCTTCACTGCCAGTCAGATAGCGCAAAAACATGCGTAAATTTTTCAAGGACCATTGAAGCCAGCGGACAGCTATAGTTTTCAAACGTTCCCGTGATTTTTCGAAAAGCCTGAAGCTATTTTTGAACCTTCGGTGTTGACCTGGGGATCAGGATGAGGCATCCAGAAAAAGGTGGGGAATTTCTCCAGATAAAGGGAGACCGCGACTACCCGTTCATAAAAACCCGTGCCCTCACAGGGGACACCCGTTTTTCCGGGAATCGAGCCCTTTAAAATTGTGCACTTTTGGACATTAGCCTCTTTAGGGGGAGGAGGAGGAGGTGGCATTTCGAGCTGGAAACGAGACGTTTTCGGAGGTTTTCGTCCTGTTTGACTGTCAGTTTGTCGATCTGTCTGTCAGTAACGCTCTTTGTCTGTATTTTAACTCATCTAAGGAGCAGACTTCGTCTTTGGAATACAGATACCCTGATCCGGGTACCTGATTTTTAACGTACCCTCCAGAAGGCAAGAAATTATGGATGTTTTCTCAAAATTTTAGCTCTATTCACGAATTTGGCATCCATTTGAAAGAGTCCCGCCACTTTCCACTCTGTTTTTTTTGGCATTCTCATGCGATTCTCGAAAGTACACCCCAATTCCCATAAATCTACCCGATTCACAACTCGCTGTGTCCCATCATCCCTATTTATTACCCCCTTTCCATCCACTACTGAGAAAGCAATACAAAGAGACACTCCCAACTTCCCATAAAATATCAACAACTACCTCGCGGAGGATACGGTAGTGTCCATCAAATGACAGTCAGTTATTGGAGGGAGTGGAGGGAGTGGGGACCCCGCGAAAAGCTATTATTTGGCCAGCTGAGTACTGGGGGCATTCCATTACTTTCCTATGTACACTACCGGGGAAGAGGAGTGGGGGACTGTTTGGATGGCAGAGTGCTAATTGGTAGAAGCTTCATCCGAAAAGTTATAAGAAGCCTAAGCTGATACACAGACTCAATAGATTTGCCTTCAATGGGCTTTTAAAGTAATGATATAGGCAAAAAAATAAGTTTTAAATCTTAAACTGGCATCCAGAAGCATTAGATTTGACTTCAACATTCCTTTAAAGCAAAATTTTGACCGGATTCTCACATTTTTGGGTTATCTGTACGCCGGCATACCGTAATCCCAATTCAAACAATGTCCCCATGCAAACAGGCCACTCTGGATACCGAATAGTAGATCAGGTACCCGTCCAACTTTTGCCGCTCGGTTGACATTATACAGTACCCAGACAGCCAAACACAACGCCATGAGTTGGCTTCCGTTTTTTACCAAAAGACATCCCAGCCCCGGCCCTTTACAACATCCCGATATTCCCATGGAAGGGAATGAAGGGGAAGGGCTGTAAGACAAGGCCATGCTTTCACCTCCCCCTTGGCCTGCTATGCGCGAAATGTTGCCCCCTCAATCCGGCCGTTGATTCATCCCTCCTTCTGCCAGCCATTCTACCCTCCCAGCCATCTATCGACAAGCCTGTTGCTCATTTTGGCTAGCAACGATTGTCAATAGGTGTGTTTGGTATTAAGAAAAAGGGTTCAATAAAGTTTTCTTGAATTTGGTACTTTTTTGAAGACTGAAGGTATAAGAAAAGGTTAACTGGCAGATATTACGCACTAATAGACCAAAAATTGATCGAAACACAGCTAGAGTCGTTAGAGGGAATGCGGGACACGTTCCCGTCTCAGACAAAGAACCCAGCGGAAAAAGGGCACGCCGAGGTACGGAGGAAAGGAGAGGCTTTTTCAGAGGGCAGAAAAGGTGGATTGGAGCAAGAGGAGGAGGAGGATGTCGACCTGGGAAAGTACACCGGTACTACATTCACTGTGTCGAGAAGGAGCCGAGGAAATTGGGGAAGTCGGGTAGCCCTGGCCCCTGATTTCCAAGATTTTCGAAATCCTTGATTTTTCCAAAATTTATCAATTAAATCTGCTGCATTGT